GGTCGTCAGGCTGGCTGAAGGAGAACTTGCACGTTTTCCTGGAGAAGCTGGAGAAAGAGGTGCGCGAGCTGGAGCAGCTGGTGCAAGACCTGGAGGAGTGGCTGGACGCCCTGCTGGGAGACGGGCGCCCCAAGGAGTCCTGCTCCATCCTCAAAAATCACCTGTGAGGGGTCAGGGCTGGGGCCTGGGCAGGGGGCGGGGCAAGTGGAGAGCGGAAAGGCTTGCCACCGGCTCCTCTGAGTAGGGCATAGCTGTGACACTTGAAGTCCAGGGCAGGCAAGAAAATAAAACAGTTGGGACACTAAGAAAGCTGTCGGTGCCCCTGCTGGTTCACGAACACTGAAACGTACCAGGAAGACCCCAGGGCTCTGCTGAGATGTATGTCCTCCCGAACACCGGGACTCTGGGCCTCGGGGACCAACGGGGCTTCAGAGCCAGCTGCCAGGTCAGGAGCCTTCCCTCCCGCTCACCTGAGATGTCGTGCAAAATTCCTTGACATCTCAGACAAACTGCCTCGTTAGTAAGAACCAGGGAAACGCACTCTGCCTCACGGGGTCACAGTGAAGACCGAACATGAGTGTATAGAGCGGACCTGGCATGTGGTAGATACCTGACAGTTTATATGTGTTTATATGATAGCCATATATTACATTACATGTACTTATGTATTTTATGTTATATATAAAATACAGTTACAGATATTTTTATAAAATGTGTATGTATATAAAAACTGGGGGAGACGTGACAAAAAGGAATTGACGCCCAGATCCTTGAGGATCGGAAGCCCCCCCGTGGACATCGGCAGGGCCTTTGAGCTAAGGAGCTCGTGCCCTGAAAGCTCTTGGTCACCACCCCACGGCCCCCGCGGGCCAACTGGGACAGGAAGGCCTTTGAGAATCCAGGGCGCCCACCAACGGGCTCCAGGAGCCCTCACCGCGGGAATCCGGGAGCGGCCCTCCGGCTCGCTGCCTTTCCCCTGACTCGCCGCTCTCCGGTCCCCGCTTCCCTTGGCGTGTCCGCCCATCTCTTCCTGCTTCCGGTGGCTTCTTTGCCCTCCTTTCTCATGACTGTCCAGCTTCCACTAGCCACGTGACTCTGTCCGCATTTCCCAGATAAAACTGTGGAGACTGGATGGAGCTTCCTGTGCCAGCCAGTCTTGGAATTGGGTGACCTTGGGGTGGTCGGTCACTCCTGACCCAGTCAGCCATGGCAAGAGGAAGCAGAGGGATCAAGTGCACCAGAACAGAGCTGCGACATACGAGAAGCAGCCTGGGCCGCTTCCTGACAAGGGACGCTAGACCTTGCGTGATGACCTGATTTACGTTTCCCAAGGTGGTCAAGAATGTGAGGGGTGGCAGAGAGAGTGACGGCAGCCCTTGTACCTCGGAGCCGCAGGAGTCAATGTCGCAGAAGCGGGATCGTGTGAGACAAACATTCGAAGGCCGAATACGATTGCTGAGAACGAGCTGGGGGGGTTTGACCGCCAGAGTCGTCACAGGTGAGCGGGTCAGCTAAGTGGGACTATTTCACTCTCTGCCTCCAGCTCTTGGGTGAGAAAAACACACCTAAGAAGAGTGTGACCACCTTTCATAACTCAGAAGTGTTATCATGTGAACGAGGTTCGCAAAATGTTGTCCAGTTGGCCTGTTAAGGGGCCTCCTTTCCTGTCTACGGAGTGGCTCTCCCTGGGGGAGAGAAACATCCCTGCTTGAGAAGGCACCTACTCCCGGCTCCTTCCATTCGATCGAAAACTACTGATCGGGACACTCGCGTGCGGGCGCTGGTGAACGGGAAGTTTGTAGGCTCGTGGGGAAACAGAAAACCAGCAGAAAAGTCAGGACGAGGCCATTTCAGAGAATGACAAGTCTAAGAGGGGAAATGAGGAGGCCAGGCTGCAGACCACGGCAGCCTTCCTGGTGGAGGGGGGCACTGGAGCCCTGGAGAAGGGCCGCAGAGAATCGGGAGGCGGCCTAGGGGCAAAAGCCTCCAGATGCGATGGGCGAGGCTGACGGGGAAGGGTCTGGAGAGCTGCTCCCCAGGCCTCGGGACTCCCTCTCTATTCAGCCGAGAGGAACCTGAGCCACGATTCAGGTCCTGATCCAAGTAACCCACGAGGGCGAGAGGGAAGAGAGAGGCCTGGTCCTGTTGAGGGGAAAGTGGCCAGGTGGAGAAATGTCCCAGCGACTCAATTACGCACATTTCTCTTCTTCTTCGCTTTAGGCACCTGGAGCATGAGGTCAGCGTTGCGAACAACAAAAAACTTGTAATTAATTTTAATAGATGATCTTCTCCTCTATCTTTCTCTCACTTAGTAGATCTATTTGGCAGCCTTCCTCATGTTCCCTCAGGCTCTCCTCCTGCTGATACTGATTCACTCCACGTTTACTTCGTTTTGTTATTTTGGTCAGCTTATTCGTTTTATTGTTTTTGGTCAGCTTCTTTTCTGTTCCTTCAGCTTATATATTGGAGGAAATTGCATAATCGTTCAGTTAACACATGTTTTAAAGATCAGAATGTGAAAATTTAGACAAAAATTGGATTAGGGAAAGTCCACCTATGTATTAGCCATGTGTATTTCTTAAGAATATAAGTATTGGAAAGAAATGAAATTTTGACAGCTGATATTTCAAGAATATCCCGTGTCCCTGTTTGAGGGCCTTGGTTAAGTGCTATTGTCATTTCCAGTTTATGGAGGGGGAAACTGAGGCATAGAGAGATTATATCATTGTTAAGCTCATATAATCAATAAAGGAGCCAGGCAGGACTCAAACTCAGGCTGTTTGGCATTGAAGCCCTCACTGTAAACCAGCGTGCTTTACAGCCTCCCTTCCAGTAAGCCCAGCCAAGATCATGTCTTCTCTCTCTTAAAAAGTCTTCCTCTTACTGTTAAGCAATCACATACCAATTAAATTTATAAGACACTAACTATTCATTTCATGCTACTACATGTCAGGTACATACAGAGAGAAGAAGAAGTCCCTTTCCCTGCGCACATATAGCTTGTCTTTCTACCATGAAGCCAAGAAACAAAGACAAGGCAAATGAAATATCTACATGGTTTGAAAAGGCACTGGGTGCAGTGCCAAAGGCATCTGACTAATCGCCAAACGAGCTGTACATTTATTGTTCTGCCTAAGAGTTCAGAGGAGGGGTAGGGCCCTTGAGTTTGTGCTAACATGGAAATCTGTTAGTCCAGTTATAGAAACGTGCTGGAACTTAAACTAAACTAGGGCTATCTATGGTCAGGGGGAATCGTGAGGGAAACAGGAGAGAAATGAATGATGGGTGGGTGCAGACAGGGTCCCTCCCCGCTGAGGAAACCTTCAGGATTGTCCAATGGGCAGCAGGCAATCTTAATCCCTTTCTTTCCCAGTTAATGAAACCATCAATGTGACTGAGCTGCATTTTTCTTAAATAGATATAGATTTATATTTATATTTATATTTATATATATACCCTTGAACAGCAGGGACTTGGGCTCTGCTGAAATTATTCTCAGACCAGGAAGGTCCATTTCCAGTCTGCATGTCATTTTTTGATGATGTCAAATAAAAATGTGGACTTAATTTGTTGCCTTAATCCACAAATTTGTTCAACGAAATTGTGAAATGCACTAAATCTAATTTGGTTCTAATCTGGCTGTCAGGAGGATAATTGAGGGCCGTAAGGGATGGAGCCAAAGAAGACGCCTTTCTGGGCTATGCAGATCCCTTCCGTGGTGACATTTCCAAGAAGAAGCACATCCCGCCTCAGGGCAGGCAGAGAGAGAAGGCCAGAGCTTTATTCAGACTGCCTCGCCTCATGGCAGCAGCTGAGCCCTCAGCAGAAAGGACCTGAGCCACCTGCATGCTTTGGCCAACTCACTTCATCCTTCCGAGACTCAGTATCCCCCACCCCCACCCTGCCCACGACGGTAAAGCCTAGTGCTTAGAAAAGGGAGAAGCACAGAAAAGTCCAGATAGATCTAGGCTCAGCCTGGTTAACTCGGGGGGCACTGGGCTTTGCCTCTCTCCATCTCTCAACTCTGCTCACCCCTGGACTGGCCACATTCTCAGGTGGCCAGTCCCCACTGTGGTGACAAGACAGCTTCAGGAGCTCCGAGCTACATCTCACCCTCTCAGCCTCCTCAGAAGGAGGATTGTGTCCCCTTCCTGATCAAAGCTTGCAGTCAAGCCTGGCGGCTCTCGAATTAGGTCACGTGCCCATTCTGAGCTAATCCACGCAGCTAGGGAGACACGACACGCATCGGCAGGCCCGTTTCACAGGCCCCCCTCTCTGGCCAGGGGTAATCCAAGCATTGACTGAGCAGAGGGTGCTGGTTCCAAGGGAAATCAGGATGCTGTTACCAAAACTGGGGAGATGGGGCTAGAAAAAAACATTGAGCACTTTCTTAAAGTGTCAATAACAACGAAAAAAACATTGAGCACTTTCTTAAAGTGTCAATAACAACAACCCTCTACTGTTCCCGATAACTCCCGAGGGGCACAAAGAGCTCTCCCAGCTCACCTGGATCTCGGCTCATCCAGACAAGTGATCTCCGCTCACATCCTGGGGCATGACCAGCGCAGCAGAATTTACTTCTCCTGCCTGTGAGCTCAGGTGAACTGCACGTCAGTGGAGGTGGCATGAGGGAGCTGAAAGGACAAGGTTTTGGGGTCAAACCGACCTCGTCCAAGTGCTGCCTCCCCACCCCCACCTCTCCACTGGGACCTCAGACAGGTCACTCTGTGCTTCTGAGCCCCAGACTGCTGCTCATAAACTGGGGTTTGTCTACATATTCCCAGGGCCTATTGAGAGGATTAAGTAATAACGGCCAACTTTTATTTAGTGTTTACTGTGCTCCAGGCACGATTCTAAGCGTTTTACGGGCATCGCCTACCTTATTTAATCACCGCGACAAATACAGGCCTCGGGTACCTTCGGTGTCTTCATTTGCACGTGAGGAGCTTGGGACAGGAGAGTATAAATATCCCAGGGTCACATAGTGAAGCGGTGGAGCCGGGACACGCTGAGACAGGCAAACTTTGGGGCCACGTGTGGAAACCCCACCCTATGCTCCTTCTGGATCAAGTGGGGTAATGCACATGCAAGAGCTATGCACATACACTGCAATACATTAGATAAGTGTCACTCAGCTACGTCTCCCCTCCCGCCCTGGTCATTAGCG